AAAACATAAATGATGTATCCTCTATATGTTACTGACTTACTAATACTGGTATTTTCTTATTAATAACTTCCTCTTTCAATATTGGTAACCAGATCCTACTACATTCTGCCGAGGAATTTGCGACACAATTGGCCTCATTTAGCATAATTAGAGCCGCTTCTTTGATTTTTCTTTTTTTACCATCCGTTTCTTTTAGGACTATATTTGAATTATTCCATTGAACTCTATGTTCATTATCCCATGCGTGTTTACATATTTGAGATCTATCAAATTCTCTATTTTTAATATAAGATTGATGTTCACTTATTCTAACATTTAATGGCCTTGATGATTCACCTAAATAAAACTGATCGCATTCACAAGGTATTTTATAAATGCAATTCTTTGTCCTTTCTTGTTCATTGTTAGGTTTGGTTTTGGACAAAATAGATCTCAACGTGTTTGTTGTTTTGAATGTTGTTGAAATGTTGAATTTATTTAATAAATAAAACGGATGGTAAAAAAAGAAAAATCAAAGAAGCGGCTCTAATTATGCTAAATGAGGCCAATTGTGTCGCAAATTCCTCGGCAGAATGTAGTAGGATCTGGTTACCAATATTGAAAGAGGAAGTTATTAATAAGAAAATACCAGTATTAGTAAGTCAGTAACATATAGAGGATACATCATTTATGTTTTTTAAATAACGTAACATAAAATCAGAATTTTGATGTTTGTTGAAGGTAAACTAAATTCACGAACAAATACTTACAATGTCGGGATAGTATTATGAGGTTTTTTTCCTGGTTTTTCCCTCATAATTTACTATGGAATCACTAACAGGAGAATTTTACTGTCATCATGTCATGTGTTTGTCTTTTTAAAGACGAATTACATGCTATGATTTTTTCTGACGGATATTCTCAAGTTAAAGTTGATTTCATGTAATCGAATGAACTATCTTATAAGTAAAGTCGTCCCAGGAGCGCAACTCAACAATATTGGCAATATCATTTTAAAGTCGTTAACTTTAAAATGCATAATGTATGTCTGAATTGTCAATATAAATGAGTCAGATAAAATTAAATTATTAGAAGAATTTTTTCACTATGTAACAAAAAACAAAATTTGTTTAATTTACTATTTGTATTTTGAGAACGATTTCCGAATTGGAAATTGAAACGTCAATAAATGTATTTTTATCTTTAATGTGGCTTATTCCCAGTTATAAATAGTAATTAATTTACAATGCCACAAGAAAATAGCTTCAGAACAACTTAATAAATAATTAAAAAAAAATAATTTATTATGCAATTTTTTAAAGACCAATCATGTCCTATATTTTCTGACAGGTGATCTCAAGTTATGGTTGATTTCATGTAATCAAATGAACTATTTTACAATAAAGCCAAGTTAAAGTTATTTATTTATGTTAATATACAATAAAGTACTTACATATGTCAAAAATAGTATAAAATAAAAATTAACATATTAAAAACATAAGGTATAATAATGCATATATACGTTAAGGCAAACATTACACAGAATATTATATTCTGGGTTCCCAGGTATACACAAAATAAGATTCATCATCATCAATACACAAGCCAGTTCGAAACATTAAAGTTAAAATTTAGGAATTCATCACTTAAAAACTGCTTCCCCTTCAACCAATGGACTCTTTGCTTCACCACAATACTCAAAGATATCGTTAAGGTTAATTTCCATTATTAAATGATACAAATAACTCGTCTTAAACCAAACTAAACATGGAAAAGCAATGGTAAATATTATTCGAATGTTTATGTTTGTTTTTGTTTATACCATTTACACAGAATAATTTATATCGGCCATGACACTGCAATCGACCTGCCCTCTACATTCAGTTTCAATCGCGAATAAATGGGTTTTGTATTCTTGTGTACTCCTGTGACGTAACTCAAGCATCCCCACCCCAGTCGGAAGAGGCAACCGTAGTAAGTCTACGAACCGTGATGCCATCGTGATGCACACCACATAAACAACACTGGTTCCTCCTAAAACATGGCGGAACGTCTGCACGAAGGAGATGCGCGTACTTAATTTTCCATGGAGATTGGGCATTCTGTTTGTTTATTATTCTGTGACGGAAGCATGATAAATATAATATGTTTCCTTATATCATGGACGGAAGTATGACGCGTCATGTTCTGTCTTTTTCGTTGGCCTCGTTATTTTCTCTTTTTTCTGACCAAACAGCATAACCAACCTAAAATTATTACAAGGTCGATTTCTTGTCGGAAATGCATAAAAATCAACAATGATATAATTGGTCCAAATATTATATGTCAACTAAAAGCGACCAATTACGTAAATCTCTTTGTTTATGTACATTAAAGTCCAACAATTTTAAAATACTAAACCATTAAGTAGTGAATTCGCTTTACATTAGGTTTTAAAAATTGTTTTAAATTACAATGAATGTATACTAAAATTGTTACAATAGAAGGATTCACGACAACAGTTAGATTACTTTTTAAAACTAGACACAAACTGTTTTGAAAAATGGGAACATTAAAACTTTGGATCTGATTGATTTTAGGATCAAGAACATACTGAATTTGAAGAGAGGAATCAGGAGAAATAAATATAAACTGATAACGATATCATATCAAGTGCCAAATCATTGTATCTGGACGGGATTAACAAATTGCCATATCAATATAGCTAATGTAAGTAATATAATAAAGATGTAAAAATATAATATTTATAATTACAATAAATCCCATCATAAAAAAATGCCACTACTCTACTAACAATAGACAATTATTTTCATTTTCGAGAATTTTTAGTAAGCACGGGCATATTTTTCGAACGAAATGTAACATAACATAATTAGTGTTTTCTATTTTTATCACTTTTATCAAAGAATTTATTGTCCCAGACAAATATATTTTCAATCACGAGTTGTGCTTTCACGAAAAGTAGTGGGCAGAGTCGAGAACTTTTAAATTAATAAGATTTGCTTGCTGACTTTCCCAGGCTTTGATACCTAATTTATTAATTTGATTTAAACATTTATCAAGTTTATAAGGAAGTCCGACGTCACCGTGTAGCGGGAAACACAAACATATTGCTGTATTATAGTTATTACAAATGGTGTAAAGGTTAATCATACAGAACTGAATATTTGAAGTGTTGTGCAAATATTGATATGAACTAAGCATCAACTTTGTTTACATACATGAGTCTTATTGTTTCAGTAGTTCAGTAGATTTTGTGTGTTAGGTGAGTTACAAATAATTATTACACAATGTTACCAACAATAAATAATTGTTATAATTATGTAAAATGATAATCATAATTGCAAATTATCTTTGATTATATGGGACAATGTTTTAACTGTTTACAATCATAATTTCAGTATATATCAATATATAAACTATCTAAAACAAATATAGGGAAAAATAAATTTTTATCTTAATATAAATATTGCTTGTTATAATTGTTACAAAATCATGTTTTGATTATGAATATATCTGAAATTAATTTTTTTCTTTGTCTGTTACTCTAACAATGTTATACTGTTATCTATTAATTATTATCACAACTCATAATTTAAAGACAGTTCAAAGAATTAAGAAAATAAAATAGTTACCTTCGTGATACCTAAGAACTTTTTTTAAATATTTTCTCCTATAAACATTTACATTGACACTATTTAACTTCTTATCCAACTAGCCAGTACATTTTCTAATTTATCTCATCCAAGATATTTGATTAACATTTCTGAGTATGCGTTAAGCATTTTCTTGCTTTTTGGAGAAAGAATGTTTTTTTTTTAAATTCTATGTATCTCATGTGTCTTTTAGAATTTTTCTTTTCCTTCTAGTCCTATCCTAGTTACAAGTAATATCATAACAGATCAGTTTCTTTATGTAGGTCCTTAATTCAAAATATGTTTAAATTAAGATATTTTTAAAGGAAAGATCAAAATTACCCAAAATGAACACTTTGTACATTAAATATTATTAGAAAATATATATGTGAAGTAGGTTTTGAGAATTATATAATTATACCCAATATCTGCAGAGTGATTGTGATCAAAGAATGTTATTAAAGAAATAGATGAGATCTCCTTCTAGTTATTTTTCTATAACTAGTTCCTCTACTTATATTAAATCTAATAGGCACATTCTAATAGATTTGAAAAAAACTGTTTAAACTGTATAATTTAATTAATTTTTTGTATAAATATGTCTATTTTTAAAACTTTGTTACAGTTTTTTGTAAGTACGGATTCCAATGTTTTTTTTTGATATTTGAAGTCTCAAGTCAGTCTCTAGCCTTCCTTTAGTAACAGTACTTCCTACAGTACGAGACTATGTCCAAAGCTTCTTGTTTGTTAACTTACTGAATTTTTTGATGCCCTTGTTCTGAATAATGGAGCTTATGATGCATTACCTAGGTTGTAGTTTAGCCCTCAAATTTTGCTGTCAAAGGAATAGGGCAATTTTGGAATAAACAAGTGTCAAGTTCTGGGCTTCAGTCTACTACTTTAACAAATGTCCATTATTTCCTATCACACTATAGATGCTTGAAGAGATATTATGGCTTGAATTCTGATTAAAATCACCCACAACAAACTGGGTATGCTGGTTTTTGAAATTCGGAAATTATGGGTCTGTGGGAAGTTAAACAATTGTAGACTGATATCGCTGTAATATTTCTGTTTTTATGATTAGCATCAATGCTGATTTTTGGCCTTAGCTTTAAGGCCTATTTAGCCAGCCAATATTCAGTACTGTTTTGTGTTGTTATTTCTGATGATAGTACTATTAGATGTTGTCTTGTATATATTGCACTGCCATACTTGAGGTGTGGCTGGTGTAGTCCATCAATTTTTGAACTGCATGTTCGTCTTTATGGGATTTCTGAAGATACACAATACACAGTTTTTTACCTCTGTTTATAAGTCTATTTCTATATTAGCATATTTTATATCCTTACTATAAGTTATAGTCAGTATCTTTTTAGATAAATCATGGGAAAGCATATCTTGGGTATTGATATTGGAACTACATCTGTAAAAGTATGCATAGTTAATGAAGATACACATGATGTAGAAGTCCAACATGTTAAAGACACCCAATCAAATATACCAAGTGACACAGGACCCGGTGGTAATAAACAGGATGTATCTAAGATTGTTTCTGCTCTAAATCTGTGTGTATCTAAGCTACCAAAGCAGCTACTTCAAGAGGTAGGATTACAAATAAAGTTTCTTAAATTATTTTGCTATAATAATTTATAGTATTGAGTGTAACTGAACTCATTATTTTCTGATTTATTAATAAACTCCTTTTACCCTATGAAGGCCGATATGTAATTAAGATATGATCAGTGGGCCTCAAACAGTGGGGCGTTAATATTTAATTTCAATCGCTTGAAAATTAAAACTATTTAATTTCCTGTATTTTATGTTCAGTAATAATATTGGATTTTACTGTATCAAAGGCAAATAAAATGAATATAATATGTGTATACAGGGTGGTTAAAAGAAGTGGGACAGAATATTTCGAATAATTGAAATTATTTGTCAACATCAAATGTTCATCAAGTCTCTATTTTGTGTAGAGTAAAAATTATACGAATGGTTTTGCATGCAGTTAAATTGGAAAATACTTGCCAAGTTCCTGGTATGTCCAAATTTGAATAAAATACATCCAGGACTTTACTTTCTGCAGACTCTGTATTAAATATAACCTTGAAACAAATTGGCACTAAATCATTTTCGAGTTTTCAGCAAAAAAAAAAAAATGTTTAAACATGTGTAGTCCAGTAATTAATACCAAAGCTATTGAGAGTATACAGTCCAGTAATTAGACCAAAGGTAATTTATCATTTAACTAAAACACACCACAAAGTTTGAATTGAATTCCTGAAACACTTTTTTGTTTCTTCTTTTTAGCAAACGATGTGTCTTATTCACTGTGATATTTCACTAGCAGAGTCGTCACTATCTGAATTGTCTATTCGAATAATTAGAGGTCGGACCTCATCTATAACTCGCTCGGTTTGAAAAGACTGAACAATTATGTCTTCCATATGTCTAATACAATTTTGCCATTGTTCTGCCTTTATTTGTTCTAGCGATTCTTTCCATAAACCAAGAACGCTAGCGTTATCTTTTGTTCATCGAAAGTCATAGAACTTCATAGCCATATTTAAGAGCCATTTGGTCAGTAACAAAGTTCTTTTGAATTTTGTGCTTTCCACACCTTTGAAGTAAATCGACTTTTAAAAATATATCACTGTTAAATTTTCTTTTCTGTCAACCACAACTTTATTTCTTCTTTTGTTCAGCTACTTGAAGGAAATCTCTCTTCTACTCTTGAGTACTAGGATGCATTATCCAAGGCTATTATGGATGGTCGCTCCAATTTTTTAACAAATTTTCTTCAAACCATTCTTCAAAAATATTTGCATCCATATTTCCATGGTAATCACCTGTATTCTTTGTGGACAAAAAAATTAAACAAGCGCCAGGAATAAAATCCTCACCATTTCCATGAAGTATAATGTAGCGTTTACCATTACCGGAACGACTAGAAGAATAAAATTTCGTGGTGCCATCTTGCCAAGATGATTTTGACATATTTCTTTTAGCGAAAATCCAAGTTTCATCTAAAAATACAACTTGCCTCGGACTATCAGACATTTTATTGTTCATGTATTTTCTTAAAAAATGCCACCGTTTTGAAACAACATTAGAGAGTTCACACAATGCTTGTCTATTATTTTCTATCTTTTATAGTTTCACCGTGTATAAGTTTGCATTATATATATTGCAAAACCATATCGTATGATAATTTAATATTAGTTCATTTACCTACAACTAAATAAATTGCCGAATAATAATATTTTCTAATTGAACTTCGTAAGTGTCGCAATTAAGGCGTAGATTAAATTGTACTGTAAGCAAAGTTTGGTTGTATGGTATGATAGAAAGCAATGACCTATGTGCTTAGGTGTGAATTATGTGTGAGATTATAAATTGGGGATTTGAGTTCAAATGAACACAGTCAATATTAAGTAGTTACCGAACGAACTATATATTGTGTAATTACGAGTTGCTGTCAATAAATCATCACTTTTACTCTACAACTTCAACATTTATTAACCCTATCAACATCGATCGACGAGAAGCGGACAAAGGGGCATACGAACCGATCCGAACTTCATTACTAAGTTTTCGATATCTTTTCCATTGGTCCTTCGTCAAAACATCATCAAAAGGGCGTTAATTGGTTTGGAGCTTCGAAGGAGACGACCCTTAGCGACCTAAATAGCGGTTTCCCAGTTCCGTACAAGATCGACGATCGAATTCGAAGTGTAGAGAAAAGAAAAAAGAAATAAAAAAGACCAGAAAGCACCGAAATAAGGGGTAGGAGCCTTACGAGAGCCTTTGATCACCAGAGAACCTTAATAGCAGTCCTTAAGTCTACTATTCCAGCAGTTTGGAGGTCCAGTTTCCAGCAGAAAAATCTAGTAGCATCCAGAGATCCAGCAAACCCGTTCCAGTTGCAGTTCTAAGAAGGAAGCAGGAACATACAAGTGAACGTCGGGATAAAACTGTAAGTTTTTGAATATTTATTATCATTTAGAGCAGTGCATTAACTTAATACATTAAAAAGATTATTAAAGAAACTTAAGATTCAAATTGAATAATACTTATTTGGAAATATTTTATTCTGCATACTTTTTTTTACTTAAAATAGTAATAGTTTGTCTACAGCTAATTCAAATCTAATAGCTTAATTATTTTAATTTTAATTATATTCGATAATTTTGATTCTTATAACTTAAAATTCTTAAAACATTTGATTTTCATAATATAGGGAAATATCGTGACAAATCGTTATTTTTATACACATTCAGAGTTCATTCATTCCAAATATATAGTATTTTGTAGTATTTGCATTTTTTATATAAAGAATTTTTCTCTCTGGTTACAAGTGATACTATTACATTATTTAATTTGTACTATATAGCCGTGTCACAAAGATTAGACAAGAGGTCATTTTGCGTTATTGTCTAAGGTAATCTTGCTGACACTAGTTTAAAGTTGAAATTAGGTCAAACATATTATATTCGTTTAAAATGGAACGATTATATTTAGATCAGGAAAAGCTAGGTCAAGAAATTACGAAGCTTTTAAATAATTTGCGAAAACTACGGAAAGAAAAACGAACGAGAGAATATTTAAACATTAAAAGACAGACACTTGATGAATTGTGGAACGACTTTGAAGATCAAAACACAGAAATTGAAGAAAAAGGTTCGAGAGTTGATAAATATTTTACATCTAACTTTTACGAACAAGTACAAAAAAGATATGAAGAAACGAAAAAGACTTTAGAGGAATTTATTAAAAATTCGTACAAATCTTCGACAAAAATTAGAGAAATAGAAATTAGGATGGGGAAACTTCATCATTTATTGGAAGACGACGAAACCGATGAAGATTTACAAGAGGATTTAAAAGAAGAGGTACAAAAAATAGATACATTAATAATGGAGATAACTGTGGACAATGAACAGGATGCACTAGAAGAAGGTGAAATAGAAAGATTTTATACAATAAAAAGAAGGGTGCGGTCGATCATAAAAGAAAATAAGAGATTAGAGGCGGAAGGATGCAAGAAAGACAAAATAATATTACCCCAAGTGAAGTTACCCTGTTTTGAAGGAAGGTATGAATCCTGGGTAACATTCTATGATATTTTTAAACGTTTGATAGATGAGAATAATCAACTATCAAATGTGGAAAAAATGCAGTATCTGAAGACAAACCTCCGAGGAGAAGCAAGTAGAATAATACAACATTTAAACACAACAGAAGCAAACTACAGTGCTGCCTGGAAAATGTTGCAAGATCGATACGATAATCCAAGGATGAATCTATTTATATTAATAGACAAGATACTTCAGGCTGCGGAGATAAAAGAAACGTCAGCAAAGGCGCTGAAATCATTACATGATACTCTCCACGAATGCTTAGAAGCCATTAGTGGACTAGGTGTAATGACAGAGTCCTGGAGCCCTCTTATAGCAAGGATAAGTATGTTAAAGTGGGACACAGAAACCAGGAGATTATATGAAACGTCAATTCAAGACAGTAGGGATATTCCGACATATAAGTCAACACAGGAATTCCTACAAAGAAGATTCCAGACTTTGGAGATGTTGGAAACAGAAAGGAAAGGAACAGATCATAGACAACAGGTAAAGAAGAAGATAACCTGTGTGGTGTGTCATGAAGAACATAAACTGTTGAAATGTACAACGTTTCTACGTCAACAAGTACGTGAAAGAAACAAAATCGTAAAGGAAAAGCAATGGTGCGGTAGATGCCTACTACACAAAAGGGAAGTACCATGTTATTCCTCTCATAGATGTGCAGAATGTGGTGGACAGCACCATTCATTACTACACATGTCAGAAGGTCAGCATGATAACAGAAGGAATTCTGAAAACAGAAGGCCACAGAATAGACCAAATTCTAGTGGGTGCCAGTATGACAACAGAAGGAATTCTGAAAACAGAAGGCCACAAAATAGACCCAATTCTAGTGGGAACAGAGGTGACAACAGTTACGACGGATCGTCAAGGAGACAAGAGAATGCCGTGAGCTGTTTAAGTCATCAGAATGAAGAAGTGCTACTTGCAACGGCATTAGTACGAGTAAGAGACTCAAAAGGAAGCTCACAATTGATGAGAGCATTGATTGACCAAGGCTCGCAGTCATCATTCATTACGGAGCAGGCCGCTACAAGTCTCGGAATAAAAAGAAAAGCTGTCCACGCTCAGATATCTGGAATTGGCAATGAAGACCAAAGGACGTCGAAATGGAGCGTAACATTAAACTTAGAGGCGCATTTCAAAAATGAATTTGAAATGAAGACCGAAGCAATTGGGCTAAGAAAAATAACAAAAAATCTACCGGAGAAAGAGATACAAATAAAAGAAACGAACCATAGGAACTTAGTCCTGGCGGATCCAAATTTTAATAAAACAGGTCCAATAGATATTCTATTGGGAGCCAAAGAATATAGTTTGATATTACTGGACGGAGTAGATCGAACAAAAGATGGTTTGCTCACCCAAAATACAAAATTGGGTTGGATAATGTCAGGGATAGCAGAGCCAGAGAATATCCCTAATATACAAGTGCTCAGCATGCTATCTAGACGACAAATG